GTATTGGCGGAGTATCTCGGCTAAACCTAAGTTGGTTCCAGGCCAGTTGTTCAGCTCGTGGACCCCGTTGATTATTCGGTATGTGTTTGTTGAGACTTGTATGGGTGCTAGCCCAGTGCGACGCAAGAATTCGGTCATCAATGGATTGACCGAGAAGCGGAGGCCTCCTTCAATGATGGATAGCACGGTGAAGGGGCATTGTTCTAATCTGCCCCAAGGGTTGATGTCTAAGGCACTGAGCTCTAATTGAACGTCAGCCGGGATACCATACTTTTCCCGGAATGCGGCCAAGGCAGCCAGAGTGTCAACGAGGAAGCGGTAGCGCCCCATGTGTCGCCGGCTGGTTTAGCTTGGCTGAGATGGTTAGGCAGAATGGTGTTTGATGGCTGCTTGGTCTTTGAGAGCCTCGGTATTTGGTCTGTGGTCCTCTTGGACTCTGCAGGAAAAGGATGGCAAGTGTAACTAGAAGCGCGGTCGCGCAAAACGAGCTTGACTTTAGCTCGGTCATGAAGAGTGCTAGACCACCTCGGTCGCAAAGGCAAGCCAAGGAGCTCGGTCGCTCAAGCGGACCAGTTGTTAGCCCGGTCGAGCAGCCAAGTCCTCTGTCTACCTCGGTTTCTACTAAGGTTTTGGCAAACTTGTAAGTTGCTCAGTCTTGATGTTATTTGGGATAAAAAGAAGACCTGGAGCCCAGTCCGCTCCAGATCTTCATGTGTTCATGTGTTTATCACTGGGATTGAAGAACAGCGAAGGGAATAGGGGCAAGTAAGGGTTTTTGGAGGGGTATATTCTAAAACCTACGACTTTTGTGCCCTAGAATATGAAATACCAAGTGAAAATAGCAAAAAGGGGCCCGAAGGACTTACCAGTTAAGGGCAGAAGCTTCTCCTTCGGACACGAACTCACGAATGGCAAGAAAGGAAGGGTGCTGGAGCTCTGGAACGTCGATAGCTTGAGGAGAGTCAGTAAGATTGAAATGAAGTGAGATATGGCATGTTTATAGAGGTGAAAAGGCCGGCCAAATTTGAATGTGAAGGGACGTGATGGTTAGCTGCTAGAGGCCAATCTAAGCACGACACGTGTCCCTATTGACGGCGACGTCAGTACTGAAGAGACATGATGGCAAATCGAGGCGTCGACCGGGCAAGTTTTGAAGACATGCATGTCAACTAGCCCGGTCATCGTCTTGCAAACTGAGGACCGAGGAAGAGTTACCCCGGTCAGAACAGGTAATCCCAGTCACGCTTGCGCAGACGGAATTAATGGACAATTGAGAGGGAAATTTATGAGCTGGATTGGGCTGTGGTAATGACCGGGCAGATTATGGACCGAACATGTTGTGGGCCGTGGTAGCTTGGGCTTAGCCGGAGAGGGTTGTACTCGGTAATGGCCCAGGACCATGCTAGGACCAAGCTACTTGGCTTGTTTATGTGGGAATCGAGCTAATTGGAAAGGCCGGCCAAATTTGAATGTGAAGGGACGTGATGGTTAGCTGCTAGAGGCCAATCTAAGCACGACACGTGTCCCTATTGACGGCGACGTCAGTACTGAAGAGACATGATGGCAAATCGAGGCGTCGACCGGGCAAGTTTTGAAGACATGCATGTCAACTAGCTCGGTCATCGTCTTGCAAACTGAGGACCGAGGAAGAGTTACCCCGGTCAGAACAGGTAATCCCAGTCACGCTTACGCGGACGGAATTAATGGACAATTGAAAGGGAAATTTATGAGCTGGATTGGGCTGTGGTAATGACCGGGCAGATTATGGACTGAACATGTTGTGGGCCGTGGTAGCTTGGGCTTAGCCGGAGAGGGTTGTACTCGGTAATGGCCCAGGACCATACTAGGACCAAGCTACTTGGCTTGTTTATGTGGGAATCGAGCTAATTAGGTAATTTGGCCGAGATAATGGAAGTCGGTCCTGTTCCCATGGTTCGCGCTTCCAGCCTTGCTGGAAAGGTCTTCGGTTTACAAGCTCGACCAGTTTTCAGCTCAGCTATGCCGGAATGCAACCGAGCTCGGTCGTCGTTGAGCTCGGCGAGCGGAGCGCTCTAGCTTGTTGTGCAACACGGCCGTTGGCAGCCGAGATGATGTAGCCCGATTGCCGAGATGCCGGTAGTATGGGCTGGCAGTTTGGTTAGGTGATGATCAACTAGATTTGTGCTGACAGATGGGATAGCAACACCACGTGTCGAGAGACTAATGAGAGTAGATTTGGGGCGCAGAAGGTATATAAGCGAGTCTGTGCCCCCCATGCGGAGACAGATGAACATTTGGTGAGATATACACTTACACTCAACTCTCTTCTCTCTATCTATCCCTGTGTGTGCTTGCTAACTTGATCGTCGGAGGGGTTTTTCGGCCATACACTGTCGGATAGCTCACCGCCGTTGTGCTTGCAGGTCGATCGGACAGACAGGAGTTTGAAAGAAAAGAATACGAGCTTGCCTGAATATTTGTTCCCTGTATGGAGTCTAATTTTATAATCAATTTGTGTTACTTATTGAGAAAGGAAAATGATGGAAAGTGAAAGGGAGTGGGGGGACCAAAAAATGTGTAAGGAAAGACTTTCTTTAATTTGCTGTGTTGTGTGTAATTTTAGTCTTGGACAGGACTTTGACAGTGGGCTCTCAAAAACACAGATATAGGTTCCTTGGAGGGTAAAGCATCCAAGACAAAGTGATGAAATAAAACCATTGAATAAAATTATGGAGCTAGCAAACTAAAAATATGAAACAGGTTTCTTTTTTTCCTTTTTTTTTTAAATTTTTGATACAACCGAAATAAAAACACAGGTTTCTTTGCCTCTCTCTATGGATAAGAATATACTTTGACAACCGCAAAGTGAAAAAGAAAGGGTCTAAAAAAATGATATTTTTTATAATATTATTTTTTTAAAATTTGGTTGTATTATTGAAACAAATGTATTAATAATTACATTAACGGTGGTGGAATGGTAGTAACAGTAGGTAGAAGTGATGTAATGTAGTGATGATGGCAATGGCGCTATTGTGATGGGGTGATGGTGGTGATAATAGTATTAACAAAATTTTAGTTATAAAAAAATTGTCACCTTTCAAAAGTAGAAAATATTTTATTTTAAATAATATTATACTAAATATCAAAAAATGAAAAAAAAAAATGTTTTACCAAAATTAATGACGGTTTTATTTCCTCTTTATTATGCAAAATGACATTAAACTATCGAATTTGACCCTTTCGAACTTGTACACTTATCTTCCTTTTTTTCTTTTTTCATTTTTTTTTTGAGCAAAAATTGCATTATAAATACAAATATAAAATATATTAGATGAAAATAGGAGTGGGAACAGGACCAAGCAATTTTAAATGTCATATTTTCTTTTGTTTCTTTGACTATTGTACATATGAAAGAAAGAATAAATATTCAAAAAAATATATATATTTAGAAAAATTCACAGGCAACACTTTACCTTTCTCTCGCCTTTACTTCTTTTCTTCCTTTTTTTCCCCCGCTATTTTAGCATGTGTTTGGCAAGTGAGTTTGTAAACTTTTTTGACTATTTTAGCCACAAAAAACAAAATAGGCTATTTTAATCATAACAAACAAAACATCACATCCAACCCGTAATCATTACATTCTTCTCTCACAAAAAAACTCAAAAAAGCCAAAAAGTCAAAAAATTCTTCCCAAACCAAGTTTTTAAGCCCAGGCTAAAATAACCAAAAAAGTCAAAAAGCCAAAAAGCCAACCCACTTCCCAAACGGAGAGAACCATACAAAACCCAAATTGGTGTTGCCTTTTAAGAAGTTGTCATATGGGTCTCGTTTTTCAATTATTAAAAATTTAAAAAGTCATTATAAATCGTCACATTATTATTTTTATTTTTTAATATATTCATTTATAAAAAATTAAAAAATATTAAAATAATATATTCTCAAACACGCGCTTAAGCTCCGGTCCAATAAATACATATTACTATAATCATTCTTGCCATGAAAGAAAGTGAAGCACAAACATAATAAAAACTTTTGCCTGCGGAAAATGACAAAAACCACAGGAACAAAGATTGTATGTCAATTAGGGCACGAAAATTGTTTTTCCCGAAAAAAATGACAATTTTGGTAAAATTGGCAAAATAATTCAAGAATGAACTTTACTCTCTCAAACAACACCCCGTCCAAAATTGGGAAGAAGATTTTTTAGGTTTTTTTAGGTAATATAGTACTAAAAGACAAAATAAATTAAAATAGTTAATAAGACAAAATGTCATATCAAATTTATAATCATTTTACTTTTTCTCTCACAAACATCACATCTAACTACAAAAAAATCTTACTACCTTCCTAAATATAAAAATTTTAACCTCCTAAAATAGTTAAAAACTAAGATAACTTATTAAATAGTAACTTCCCAAACAGCATGTAAGTGAAATAATTATTGAGTTGGGTTGATTAGTTTGTTTGTTAGTTGCTTAGCGCAGTGGAGTTAGGAATGTTAGTTAATAGTAAAGGGGCGAAAAATTCCTTTTCTTCGGTAATAAAAACTTCAATTAAAAAAAAAAAAAAAGTGGAGAAAATAATATAGGATGGTTAGTGAGTAGTTAGAGTAGCAGTTAGAGGAGGTTAGTTGAAAATGTATAAATAGAGGCTTAGGGGGGAAATTTTGTATTTTTGAATTTCATGGATTGAAACCATCCATATGGTGAATATATAAAAGAAAAAGAAACAGAGACCTTATTGATCTATTGACAAATTGAAAGGGATGAAGAGGAAGAAAAACAAGGGATGAAGAAAAGGAAGAAAGCCTTGAGAGAGTGAGATAAAACATGCATCTCTTCAACAAAATCGAAGCATCATTCGAATTCAATAACTCATCAATGAACATGAAACCAACGTATTGATCTCAGCTATCCACCATCTGAAATGCCCCAAGCACCAATATTGCACTAGGTATTCCCAAAATTCATGGAACAATAAAGTATGCATGTATCCAAATCCAAAATCCAAGTGAATTAATATTTAAGCAAAATCCAAAATCCATAATATTTTTCTCATTCATGATTTTAACTTCTGTTCAATGTCTCAAGGCAATCCAAGAATTAGTCAAAAAGAACAGAAATAAACCGAAAAAAATTTAAAATAAAACAGTGTCAGGCCCACATAGAATAGAGGAAGCCATCCACCTCAGATACGATCTGCAGTCCACCCAAATGGACTGGTCATTCGATCTGTACATACAGTTACAAACACCTATAGATCAGGTTAATATTATTTAGCAAACTTGTCAAGCTGGAAATCCATGATTTGGGAGACGGTTTCAAGAAATGCAGCTTCACTCATGCCGGGGAGAACGGAATCATGAGCCTCTTGAACAATCTTCTCAATAATCGATTCCTTGTTTAACGTTTCTCTGCACATGATGCTTCCAATGGCAAAGGGAGTGAGTCCTCTCTCTACCCCTTTCTTCAAAAGCATGGTGGAGATACGGAGTGTGCGAGCACACTTAAGGGAAAGGTCCCATCCATAGAATTTCAAAAGTGCAATATCTTGTTCGGTATCGAGCGAATTTATGTATTCAATGGTGTTGGGAGAGTAAGGTTGGTGGGCTTGCGGCCAGTAGAGCCAATCGAATGTGCAATCTTCAAACTGCCAAGAAAAAAGAAATGTCAGTCTATTATGTTAAAATCTATGAATGAATTTGGCATCACAGTAATCCTAAAAACTTATAGCATTATGAAGAGAATTTTTTGTATTGAATTAGTCTCATCGCCTCAGTCCCAAGGGGTTCAGAAAGAGAATAGTTGACATCATCAATGCCACTGAGGGCATAGAAGATCGATTCAAATGCACTGCATGCAGCTAATGTGGCAAGTAGTAATATAACATTTAAAGTGAGGTAAGTAAACATAAACAAAAGACTAGCAACACTTACATTCTCAGGCAAACAATAGCCATGATCAATCGGAATGAGCACAATCCGCCCCTCTTCCCCCTCTCTGCTCATCAGAATATTCCCGGCATGCCTATCTGCATTCGCCATTCTTATATCAAACACACTGATCTTATGGACCTCCTCCACAGGGAAATCCCGAGGACCCATATCCTCACAAGATCCATTATTCTTCATGAACATTTGTAATGACCCGATCTTAACATTCTTTAGAGCATGCTCATACCCATCTGGATGATTAAATCCCCTATGCAAGCACTGCACCATAACAGTTGGTGGCACACCAGCAAAACCAACCTCACCCAATAACGTACGTTGGCCACTCCTAGGATGATCCAGTATGTATGCTGCAACTTCCCTAAATGCACCTTCTCCGACTTTGGTTCCCCTCTTTAAGCCTTCACCATTCGATGATAAGGGTAACCCCAGAGGGTTATTCACAGCCATTGGTTCCTCATCTACGGGCTTAAAGACCGAAAGATACTTGTTGCCTGATGCATCTTGCATAAAATAAGTTCCTCCTGTGCCCTCAGATGATCTGATAGGTTGTTTGCCTCTCTCCAGTCCATCAATGGTAGAATTAATCATATCCCATATCATTTTAGGCAATTTGATCTCTGGACTAACAAGAACAGGTTCCAACATGAAATCTCTAACCGGTGTTTTCCCAGGTTCAACTTGAAGCTCAATGGACCGGTTCTCTCCTTCGTGTAGTCCTTCATCTGTCCTCTCTTTCCAGTCAGCTGCCACAACAGAGAGTTCAACATCTTTCTCCACATGCTTGGCCTGAACTTTTGCAGATTTCTGAACTAGTAAGTGAATCACAGCATCTGTGTCCTTACATATATCATCAATTAGCCTCTTATGGTCTTCAAGCTCCTCGCCATTACAATAAATTTCATGATCATCGAGATCAACAAAGCCTTTCCCTTTCTTGACAATTCGATGCTTGAGATATCCAATGTTTTTGTAACGATCGACCTGAAACTCAAATTCCTTCTTCCCACAGGCAGTCCTAACTGTGATGATAATGAGATCAGAGAGACGGACAACCAAATGCAAAACATTCCCTTCAGTGACACCATAGTCCTTAACGAGGGAATCATTTCGTGCCAACTCTCTGCCTTGGAAAACTAGTTTCTGTTTCTTCACTACCAAACCTTTACATGTTTGGATCCTAAGTTTCACTGACGCAATTGAATCGGACTCCAATACCCTCATGGGAATCACAGAACCGGCGACAATGAGGTAAATTATGATCGATTCGTCAGAGCAGAGACCTAACTGGCTATCAAGATAACCAGAAGATCGTACCAACTCTTTGGGAACCGGACTCAAAGCAACATCAGCAACTGACATTGTACAATTTTAGTTCTCCTCCAGAAACTCAGGACCCTTTTTGACTAATTCAATTTACATCTTTCAAAAAAACTATTAACTTACCGGTTGATAGAATTATTAATCCAACTCAGATCGAACAAGGCCTCTCAATCAAACTGAATTTATTATCCTAATGATCAAAAGACTCTTGTTCTAGCCCCAAATGCAAAAATCCCCCAAAAAATATATATTGAAAAAAGAAAAAAGAACTATATACAATAACAAAGGAAAACAAAAGCCCAGAAAGAATTCAACGTTTCAAAGCTGAGAGATCCATTCTGGTTGCTCAGAAACCCAAAGAGCAAACCCTAATTTATATAGGAAATGCCCTCAAAGTCTCCAATGCAGAATTACCAAACACACCTCCAAATTCAGAGGTGTTGAAGATCAAGAAGCTCTAAAGATGAGAGCTTTTCAACCTCCAACAAGAGGATTCAGATTCAAACAACTCGAACTCTTCCTCTCACCCACCAAAAAAAGATTAACAAAACAGGGTTTTTGAGAGATTATCACACCAATGTAATAAAATCAAGATTGTTGGGTGGGGGTCTTAATGTGGATCAACTGTAATGGAAGAGAGTGGATCCTTACCGAGGGAAAGAACCAAAAGTGAATGAGCCAAAGAATGTGAGCTTATAATGGGATGCTGCAGAGATGGCGATTAATTGGGCGATTAATTGAAGCAAAAAAATTTCAATTCGCATTGTTGGTGGTGTGATCTTCTCTGTTGTTTCAAGGGTCCGGTCTTCTCGCCGATTTTTTCTTGGGTTATGCATGTAGAATGTACAAGTGTAGATCACAGAGAGAATAGAGAGGAGAGAGACGAAATTATAGCCGTTGGCTTTGGGTGTTCTTTGACTCGAGGATTTTAACGGGCAAATGTTTCATACTAACGGCGTTATTTTAACTGTTTAACAATTTCTTAGAAGGAGCCTCCCTCTTTCTTTGCATTGTCTAAATAAAGAATATACTTTTAGAATAATAATATAAACCAAACCAAATCAAATCAAATCTTAAGCGTCATTAAATGAGATTTGTTATATGAATATTTCTTTTTCATTCGATTCTATCAACAATCACTTGATTAGTTAAATTAAAAACATTCATATATCTATTACTATATTCGTCTATATCAATTTAGGTCTGTCCATTCTCCTACTATTTCCATCTATCGTCACTATACCACTTCTAAAGTAATAATATATAAATAAAAATATTATTCCTACCTACCTCATCTTTAAGAGTTCAATATTTGGCAAATAATTTGTTTGAGCGAAATATTTTCTTATTTCTCCACAATGCAAAATCAAATGTTACAAGAAAATAAAAGAAAATGTTTAAAACAGTTCTTAAAATTGTTGTTAATGTATCAATCTAAAAATTTAAAAAAAAAATATTTTTGTTAATGTTTGTAAAAAAAAATTATATTAACATAAATAAATATTATTGAAATTATAAATATTTTGACATTTTATATTTTTTATTAATAATGTTTAGATTTGTCATTAACAAGACTAAAAAATAAATAATTAAATAAATTTAATTTTTATCTAAAAAAATCTTTGGTGATGGATATTAAATTCGCAAAAATATCAAAAGGCAAGCTTATATAATATAAATTTTTTTAAAAATTATTTTCAAAACTTTAAAATCGTCCCATCACCCCCCAAGTCTTTGTTAAAAGCATCTAAAAAGAAAAAGGAAAATGTTTGGTGAAAACGGTTTGAGGGCCACAAAAAGTGTAGTTCAAATGGCTCAAAACTGCCAAAACGACGTCGTTTTGCTTCGTTTTACACCCAAAACGATGTCGTTTTGACAGTTTTGAGTCATTTGAGCCACATTTTTTGTGGCCCTCTATCATTACTCATGTTTGGTAGTTCATTATTGAAATTATAAATATTTTGACATTTTATATTTTTTATTAATAATGTTTAGATTTGTCATTAACAAGACTAAAAAATAAATAATTAAATAAATTTAATTTTTATCTAAAAAAATCTTTGGTGATGGATATTAAATTCGCAAAAATATCAAAAGGCAAGCTTATATAATATAAATTTTTTTAAAAATTATTTTCAAAACTTTAAAATCGTCCCATCACCCCCCAAGTCTTTGTTAAAAGCATCTAAAAAGAAAAAAGAAAATGTTTGGTGAAAACGGTTTGAGGGCCACAAAAAGTGTGGCTCAAATGGCTCAAAACTGCCAAAACGACGTCGTTTTGCTTCGTTTTACACCAAAAATGATGTCGTTTTGACAGTTTTGAGCCATTTGAGCCACATTTTTTGTGGCCCTCTATCATTACTCATGTTTGGTAGCTCAAAATTTTGTGGCTCAAATGGCTCAAATCTGTCAAAACGACGTCGTTTTACACTTATTTACACTCAAAACGACGTCGTTTTACACTTATTTACACTCAAAACGACGTCGTTTTGAGTGATTTGAGCCATTTGCGTCACAAAATTTTGAGCTACCTAGCATTGTTGAAAGAAAAATATTGGAAAAAGCTTTGTAGCTCGAATCATTTGGCTCGAAAATGGCCCGAAAAACACTAATTTCTCTCCTCCTTATCTCTTTTTGGCTCGAAAATGGCCCGAAAAACACTAATTTCTCTCCTCCTTATCTCTTTGATCTGTTGTCGTTTCCTCTTCTCTCTTTCATCTGCTATTTCTTAAGTGAAAAACACTTATCCCTCTCATTCCTCACATTTGTGTTCCCTCAGCCCTCTCATTCTGTCATCTCCCTCATATCGACTGAGAACGACAAACTGATAGAGGAGAACGACAGACTGATGAAGAGAACGAAGGACTGAGAACGACAAAGGAGAACGAACAACGGACTGAGACAACGAACGACAAACAACGATTTACAGATTTGAACAACTCGTGACCTACCCCAGCAGCCTAATCGTCATTATCTACGAGAAGAAAAGGAATCTAAAGTAAACCTATAAACCTAAAATCGATTGTGACTGTTTGGGGTTCAATTTATGTAGAAATTAGGCAATTGTGACTGTTTGGGGTTGGATTTTGCCTTCAATTTGTGTTCTGGTTTGAGATTTGCCTTCAATTTGTGATGTGTTTGCTGTCTTTGGTTTGAGATTTGCCTTCAATTTTGCTTTCCCTTCATGGCAGTGACATTGTGAAAAGCAGAGTACCACCATGTCCCATTCCTTGAAGCTGTCACTGGTAGCCACTCATTCAACTCTTTCACCTTCACTGCTGCTGCTGCTGCTGATGATGATCTCTTTTCCTTATTTGATTCGCCATTTGCCATTTTTGTTTTTCTTGCTTTTGTTTTTTTTTTTTTGTCGTCAAAAATCCAAGTTTAGCACAAATCAAAAATCAAATGAGAGAGAGAACTCTCTCTACTTTGTTCTTTTTTTTTTCTTTTTTTTTTTAATTATTTCAAAATGAAATGTGTTGGTCAAAATTGAGATGGGTTATACAAATAAATGGGGGTGCACAAAAATATGGGGGTGTATATAGAACTTGAGCCATTCGAACCATGTGAGTTTCGAGCTATGAATTGCAACTGAAAAATATTTTTAAAATTGATAAAAGCATCTCCATCTCATACTATACTATACTATAATATAATATAATATAATATAATATCCCAATAGTATATCCATCCCATTGCACGAGTTGAATGCCAAGACCAAATGCAATTCCGAGGTATGCAATTCGATTACTACCATGTCACTTTATTTATAAAAAAAATACAGTTGTTATATATAAATAAATAAATAAATGTCTTACTAGTGTTTATGAAACACAAAAAATGATAAAAATATGAGTAGATGTTAAGACACTTATTATTAAATTTTCAAATATCTTCTACAAATTTAATACACTTTTTATTAGATTTCAATATTAACAATTGTTTTAAGGTATTTGTTAAGAAATTTTTAAAAATTATACATTAAATTAAAAAAAATGTTAACATGTAGCTAAAGACATGTTACAAGACTCTCTGTCTAAAAACAAAAAGTATAAGTGATGAATAAATAAAGTTTTTATGTTTTCTTTAGACAGTATTGAAATTATGAATTTAAATAGGAATTTAAAAAAATAAAATAAAAATAATAAGTAAAATATAAATAAAATATAATTATATTTTACTTATATTTTTTTTTAAATCGCTACTCAAATGTGATCCAACATAACTTTAAATAAAAAATGATGTATCACATTCTTAAAACTACAAAATATTCTGATAGTCAACATGCTATTTGAACTGATATATGCACTTTTATTGAGGGAACTTCTATGTAGAAACCTTGTTCTTGTGATTGATAAATAATGAATAATAATAAATAAATAAATAAATAAAATGAAGATGTGTTGGTCATTTGGTCATTAAAATATTAACGCTACTGTTCCGTTATATGTTGTTTGTTGGGATACCGTGGCTTTGTAAGTTGAGTCCAGATCTCCTCCTTGAGTGGACCCGAAAGCCCCTGCAAGGAGGGAATTAAGGAGGGGACTCAAGGGGAGGATCCCAATTCTTGTAAGTTGTAGTGTACTAAAATGACGAACGTGGTAACCTGTGATTGACAACGCGCTTATGTGTCACTCACGTGTCCCGTGTAATAAAATGACGAACGTGGTGACCCTAGCAAGCTCGCCTCCAAAATTATTTTTTATACTTTTTAAAAATATAAACATTTAGATTAATACTTGAGACACAAAATGGCTGAACTCCATGACCTTTAATTGATTTGATTGGTGATCATTTTATTTTTTTATTTTTTCTCTCACTCCCACACGTGCGTGGGAGTCTGTAGCACTTTTGAAATATTTTAACATAATTACATTCAAACATAACATTGAGTTTTTTTTTTCATCAATAATTCATTATTTATATGAATAAAAAAATAATATTATTATCTCTATTATATTAAAATGTATATTTTTCATTATTGTGCTTTTTCACAGTCTGTATCAAGTTTCGACATCTCTAATTATAAAATAAAAAAACTATAAATTTGTTGTATTTTTTTAAAATTAATTTCTGATTTTTTTTTTTAAAATCCGATTTAGAAAAATCAACAAAACAAATGTAAATAAACAATCCACTTGTTAAAATTACTACTAAGAGGTTTTATTTAATTAAGTTGGTGTTTGGAAAGTTGGCTATTTTAGTACAATAGGTTATTTTAATTTTTGGTTATTTTAGTAGGCTAAAATATTTATATTTCAGAAGATTGTTGGATTTTTTTTTGTAATTAGATGTGATGTTTGTGAGAGAAAAAGTGAAATGATTATGAGTCTGGTGTGATATTTTGTCTTATTAATTATTTTAGCATATTTTTATCTTTTTGGAAATTTTAACCCAAAAAGCAAAAAAAAAATAGTCTTTGCCAAACATGGCCTAAGTCAGCCTTATCTCACAAATAAAGGGTATTATTTGATTATTCATGAAAAAATAATTCATTTTGGCAATTTTATCACACCTCCTAGGACATAGGTTTATACATAACAAGACTCGTAACAAGACTCTTATATACAAGTCATTATAGACTGTGAGATACACTTTTTCTTTTTTATTATTATTATTTTTAAAACAATTAGCAAAATTATTCATGTGTAAAGACATTTCATTATTTGAGAAACAGCACTTGCCAATAAATTTATTCAATCTTAACTAAAAAAATTACATTGCCTTTTTTCTTTTTTGTTGCTATATGTTTGTGGAATATTTAGGTTACACGGACCAAGTCCATTGCCCCCTTGTTAGGACGATAGGGTTTAGACTTTAGAACCAACATTACTAATAATCCACAAAATCACTCAAAGGCTCTTTTGCCAGCTATTCATGCCTTCTTGTTAGTGAGTAATAATCAT